TGCTTGACTTGGGGGAAATTCTTGAGGTTTATATATCCATTAACAACTGTTAAAGCTAAGCGTCAAAGCTTAATAATTATTAGAGCGAAGCATCAGAAGTCATGTGTCAAGCGTCAAGCATCAAGCGTTAAGTGTCAAGCGTCAAGCGTTAAGCATCAAGTGTTAAGCATCAAGCATCAAACGTCAAGTGTCAAGCATTAAGCATCATGTGTCAAATGCTGTATTTGTTCTACCTACTATAACTAAATAATAATAATAACTAATACTAAGAATAATAATAATAATAATAATAATAATAATACTAATAAATAATAAAATATACATTCATGAAACTATACTAAAATATAATAATAAAATTCATTCTATAACACTAAATCTTCAAGTGTGTGGTTTGTTAACTACTTTTTTCTAATTCGCGAGACTGTGAAAAAGTTAACATGGTGGACCTGACCTACTGCTCTTGTGGTGTACCCTTTTTGAAGGGAAAGCAATATTTGGGCTCGTTTGGCGGAAGTTGTACGGTTCTTTTTTTTTTGATTTGTAAGCAATTCTAATATTACACAAGATGCAGAATCAACAATGAAACTTCCATTTTTATATGTTTTATGTGGCACAACTCACGCGATCTGATCTTTGTCAAAAATGATCAAAAATAATGCAACACGTGATTTGTAATAAATTCACAATTATCTTCGCATTGGTAATAATAACGATTATTAAAATTTTGCTATCTAAAAAAGATAGTATTTGTGAATACAATAAAAAAAAAATTTAACAAATACGCCCGGAATTGAGTGAGATAATACGATCTGACTAAATTTTTTTTTTTGTTGCATTATTTATGATCGCCAGTGTATTACCGCTTATCCAAAAAATTGGCAAATGCTCATCTGACACATACCAGGAACGTAGTGAAACGAAGTGTATGGTTTACAGGCAATTATCTGTGTGCAAATTCTTAATTCCTATTGGACAGCATGTTAAAATTGATCATTGGTCATTATTAATCATGCGTGATGTGTTTATTTGGAATTGTTAAATATTAAATATTAAATACGAATGTATTTATTTTATCGTTATGCAAAATAAATTCATTTATGGTAATTAATTTTGATAAAATCTGTGGCTGTACAAATATCTATTAAGTCTTACCACTTTCGGTATTTGATTTAAGAGTAAAATTTGTGAACATCATCGCCACAAGATAGATCTGAAAAAGGTTACACCTATCATGATCCTGCTATTGACAAGATTGTCTGTTATCAAATCAATCATTAATGCCTTTGCAAATATGTATACGTGTGTGGGTGCGTGTGCAAGAAAATTTCCTACGCCTAACTATGAACTTTACCGAGAATGATCTGATATCAGTGAAATACTTATAATTTAGAAATATGAATATATAGCAGAAACTATATTTTTTAACCTGATATTAGACTATAAGTCAAATATGCTAATTCATTGTAATGATAAAATTATGAAACAACGTTAAGAACAGATAATAATTAAGTCATTCAAAAACAATTTAACTAGCAATAACGATCGATATTTCTATTGAGTAATGAATTAATATACTATGCAATTACTTAAATTTCTGCGAAATAGAAAATGATCAAAAAAAAACAAAGAGACTTATCATATGCCACAAAACTTATAGCCCGATCTATTAAACTCATTAGCCTGATCTAATACCTTTCTGTTAACAAAGAATGCTATTGTATTGTAGCTGAAATCGTTCAGCTAAATTAAAAAATAACTACTTAATATCCCTACAATCCGGTTTATATAATATCTAATAAAACTAGCTCATGGCCCTTTTACTTAACTCCAAATCTTTTCAATTCCAAACTTGATATAACATCTGTATACAATCAACTCTCTTAAAACAAAACTAGATAATAATTTTCATAAAGTTCAATTTATAAATATAATAAACTCTTTAAACCAAACTTTTTAAAAATTAAATAGAGTTTGACATAACCAGAGTTGCCTAAACCTAAAACCTATCTTATTCGCTCACAATTTACGTTCCTGGTTTCGCGTGACAGCGTCGCGCAGCTACCTTATTTTATAGATTTATCCGAATTCACCCGGCAACATTCTAACAAAGGCATATTCTGATTGACCGATCATTATAACTTTGGATGAGATCGTTCATCAGTATATCACTCTACTTATACAAGAATTGCAGTATTCCACACTACTTCGGGATATACTGTACTAACGGGGTGGGATTTATTACTATTACGGGTAAGTATTTATTATAGCAATGGTTCTCTACAGTCACTCGTAGAAGAACCCAGAATTCGATGTATTTATCTTATTTATTACTTGTATGAAATCCGCTTTATTACTAGAACGAAATTACATGTACGCTACACTACTTCTGCTGCCTATGAGATACCCGGTGCAATATCGATTGCTATTTCCGAGTACATATCCCGTTTCAATTATACTGTACATCAATAGCAACTGATGCATGCTCTTTTAAAACATGAATTTAAAGCATGAAGTTATTAAATATGCATTCTTTAAATAAATTCAATTCCGATACATGTGGCCGGATTCATTCCAACATACCACGTGCGTGCAGTACTTTTCGATGTTTTCGACAATCCATTTCTTAGACAAGACAATCATTTCCTCGACATAAAATTGGTCTGATTTAGCTTTAGGGTTAACTGATTTAGAGTTAGTAGTGGTTAAAATTATATGTCGGAGGATAGTATTGTCGAAAACATGTTATGTCAAATAGGGGTTGGGAAAATGTGTTGGCGGGTAAATAACTTTCACCTAATCTATGGTGCAGGTGCATCCCCTGTAATTCAAAATTTTATTCTGATAACCCCCGTTATATAACTAATAAAAATATATTTGAATTATTTAATTGAATCGCAAAATTTTACCAGGGTGACCCCTGTTGTGTGACTAATAAAAAATGGTAGACAATTTTAACTCTAAGACAACCCTAATTCTAATATTATATATATATAATTTATACAAAAGAGAGTGCACCAAATGTATAGGTGTACTGTTTATAATTTTCCTTAAATTGAATTTATTATTTGTAATTAAATTGTTTGGAAATAAATGTTTCCCGTTGTATTTCAATTCATTGATACTTATGTAAGTACTGTACGTTAATATACTAGAACTGATAATTATATTTCAATGAAATATGTGTCATGTATCAAAATTCACAGATTCTTTTCTTTTTTTTTTTATTAACAGTATTTATTCGACTCGGTAACATGATATGCCAAGCCTTAGTCAATTCTATATGTAGTATAGATAACGAAATATTAGGTGAAAATCTTGGCAAACTTTATTTTCCGATAAGATTATATAATTGTAAAAAATGAATTTCTTTGTTAATAGATCATCGGGTGGTCACATCCACGATAAAAAAAAGTTCTATAATTAGTAATTGATTTTGAGACCTTAAAGATAACCCGGAATTTTCCTTTCATAATACAGAAAATTTAAAATTATCTTTTTATTGTTATATCGAAATACGGTAATCCGATAAAACTTTTGTACATAATATGTACAAGCAAATTTTCTGTAAAACAGAAGAATATAAATGTTAAATTTGAAATTTGAAAATGATCACATGCTTAAAAAAAAAAATAAATAAGATATTCTTTGTTTCGAAAATCGGACTATTTATATACTACGTACTAAAAATTAAAAATTCAAACCTGGATTTAAAAAATTTTAAATTTAAATTTATTTGGGACTTGCTTGGGAAAGTATCTTTGTGCTTTTTTTTTATTAACGGTTAAAGCATCTTTTTTTTGGTCTTGTATAACATGACACAAACATAAACGATTAAGTGAATCATCCCATCTTACTGTCCACTATGTTCCGAACAATATATGGTATGTCAATCGATTTAATGAATGTAAATAAATCCATAATCAGTAATTTTTTTTTTTACAATGTAGCACTGAATAAGGCCAGAGAAAATTGGTTACAAAGAATAAAGTTCAGGTAGATGACAATAGCTACCAGTCCGCAAATTACTGCGCCACACATCCCATTCAGACAACAAAGACGCATTCAAATGATTAAGAACAAAGGTATATGTATATATACATATGTATGTATGTAAGGTATGTAAGTATGTAAGTACCGTTATTAAAACAAGGACATTATATAATAGAATCTTCATTAAGAACACGCATGTATATAAGGTATTTAAGTACCTTTATTAAAACAAAGACATTATATATTAGAATTTTCATTAAGAACAAAGGTGCTAATGTGCTAATAATAATGATAAGAACAAAGACACAAATTATAATACAGTAAATCCTTAAATACTTATCCAAGGCTGATATTTCTCTCTTTTATTTTCTCTAACAGGAATTCATATTTTGAATTCCGTTTCCCTTTTGAAATCGATATCTAATTCTTGTATTAAGTTTTAATAATTTTCTTTGTATCATTACTTATCGTATTTCCATAATTAACTAATTAAGCATGCATGCTTTTTTTTTTGTTTGTAATGTTTCATTACTGCTTTACTGTTTTACTATGAACTTGAAACCCTAAGGAAAACGAAGGTATGTACGCATAATTTTGACAAGAGCTTCATTACTGAATCTTTAATGCACGTACGTACATATGTTGAGCATCGCATCTACATACATAGGTGAGCAATTAATAAAAAAAAACTATTATTTTTGATTTTTTTTTTTTTTACATATTTTTTATTTATAAAACTTATACGTAACAATAATTCAACAAAAGAAAGTTACAATTATCACGGATATTTGTTCACTTGATTTTTTTTTTAAATTGAATATGATGACAATGATGATAAAAAAAAAAAAAGTTATTGAAAGTTAATAATAGTAATAATAATAAAGCGAAAGCTACTATGTACTATGTATGTACTTTAAATGCCTAGGGCAAATTTTATTCCCCATATAAAAAAGCTAATTATTACTTTTTTAATCAAAAACTTTTTATAATCTCTAAAGTTCTGATTAATTTTAACTAATTATGCTAATTTCTAATAATGCGTCGTATATTACATGTGGTAAACTTGCTCTAAGCAAAATAATTGTATATGTAAAAAAAAAACAAACAATGCATGTACATATCTTATGTACAAAAAAAAAACAACTCAGACCTATCTAAAAATCATATGCAAAAATAAAATATATAATTTTTTGACAGTTATTGTTAGATGAAAAAAAATACACTTAAATAATAATAAATGAATTATATACAATGAAAAAAAACAATTAACGATAAAAATAATGAATGAAATTTGGATTGACGTGATTAACATGATCTACGTGATTTACGTACGTACATACATACGTCAATTATCAGTTATGCATAATAAGTACTTTCATCAATCATTTGGTTTTGTCCATCATGATAAAAAGGCGGAGGTGGAGGTGGAGTAGTAACTGGAGGTTTTGTTGGAGATGGATGATGATGTCTTCTGGATTGAAATTGGTTTGCTTCAACCAACATATGCATTTGTTGTGGTGTCATTTGGGCATAAACGATGGGTTGACCACGTTCAGTATCGTAAGGAGGTGGATAATTATTGTTACCAACACTAGCATTAAGATTCTTGATGGTTTGACCAGTCTGCATACGAGGGGTAGAAGATAAGATCATGCCCTGTCTCATGTTAATAGGTATTGCAGGAAGAGGTGCAAGGCGAACCGGAGGTGAGTTTGGTGCCACGTATATAGGATTTTGACTATAGATAATTTGTTGTTGATGCTGTTGATGCTGTTGATGCTGTTGATGTTGTTGTTGTTGTTGATGCTGTTGATGTTGTTGTTGTTGTTGATGCTGTTGATGTTGTTGTTGATGTTGTTGATGTTGTTGGTGTTGTTGTTGAGCTATAGCCATACGTTGTAATTTCTGTTGAAGTAATAAATCATCACGGCTTAAAGTTGAACCATCCTCATCGTCAAATCCATAAGAATAAAGTTGATCATCACTTGAAGTATAATTATGAATTATGTTACTAGTCGCAGAAGTATAAGATACCATAGAATGATTTAAATCATCCACTGATGAAGCATTATATAAAACTCTAGGTCGTCCTACTTCACCATTTGTTGAATCATTATAATTAGTTTTATGACCATTATGACCATTAGACATTTTAGGATCTGAATCAGTAATAATTTTTAAAGAAGTTTGTGATGGACGACTAGAATGACCAGAATAATTAGAAGATTTTTCAATTTGATCACGATCACTTGGATTTAAATATACAGCAGTTCCAATTTCACGATCATCAGTAACATAAGCATCAGCATAAACTTCTGCGACATTTTCTTCAAGAGATTTAGATCTTTGTAAAGTTGGTGAAACATTGGAATGAGATGAAGATTGACCACTAGAAGATTGTTGTTGATCAAAAATATTTGCAACCCTTATACTTTCTTCTACTTGAAAATCGTTATCAGCACCCCATAAACAAAACTTTATACAAAGTTGATGATTAATGCTAATATAACGACCGGAATAAGTTGGTTGTACATTACGTGGAACGAATAAATTAATAGTATGTGAACATTCACTATCAAATTGATCAGAAGCTGATTGATTTGTATATCTAAGATCCTGACGTGGAATTACTAAAGATGTAGTAATTTCTTTGGCATGACGTGTTTCAGTTGGAATACTACATCTAAAATCCATACAAGTTTTTATAGCAATTTCAATTTTTTCAACACTGATACCGGGTTTTAAAAAGCGAATTCTCATAGGAATAGAGACGTAAGCACCAGGATTAAAATTCTTTTTCGGAGGTAAACTAAAAAGATAATCAATACCAGATCTGGATTCACCACGTAATTTGTAAGGAACATTATCAGAACTACTTAAAATTAAAGTTCTTTTTAATGAACATTTAACTTCAGCTACTAGAGTTGAAGTTGATAATACTAAATTTCCTCTACGATGAATAACAGCACGAAGAACATAATCAATTGATCCAATTTCTGTTTCAATTGTATCAGGTAAATTATTAGGAAGTTTGATTTTAAATGGAATATCTAAATTCATGATACCATTCAAACTTTCGGTTTTCCAAACTTCTTCTAATAAATCGACGATAGTATGTTCACCTGAATAAACGGCTTTTGACCTAGCTTGAGATTTATGCCAAATTGTCCTTTCGATACCTTTAAAATTAAGGCTAACACTCCTAATTTGTTGAGGTTTACCATAATTGAGATGTAAAGTTCCTGTTATATAACTGTCTGCATCTCCGAGTGTTCCTTTTTGAAAAGTATTTAATCCAATCGCATAAGAAAACGTTACGCCTTTAACAGCTTTTATATAGTCGCCTGCCTGAGGTCGATTTCTCATGGATGTCATTACAGTTATTATTGTAGCTGAATTAAATAATAAGTAATAAAAAATATATATATATATATATGTGTATATATATATATTTAAAGAAAGTATATGTATGTATATATGAGAAAGGCCGTGTTATATACAAAAACTTACAATGAGTAAGATAAGGTCAACGCGACTTTTGGACTATTGTATGGACGGTGGGGGGTTCTATATATATATATATATCTCTCTCTCTAAAGGAAGGAATATGTTAAGATGTTGGAACGGAATGCAAGAGGTGTCCTGGCCTTAATAAAGAAGTATTACACATTAGGCTATATATACTTAACCGTTTCGGAAAATAGTAAATTGTGTTTATTTTGGACATTTTGGATATTAATCTTAGGTGTTACTAACGTGTCCTTTAGTAAACAAAAGTATATGTATAGAAAAACAAAGATACATGTTTAGGTACATGTTTATACCAATTTTTACGCCTGCACTCGTATCAATATTATCTATATGCCAAATTTACATAGTTTACATATATGTTACATATATGTTACATATATGTTACAAATATGCTTGACTGTTTTTTAATTCTCCGATTATCAACTTCCATTCACGTTACCTTGAATTACATGACACGAATTTTTTTTTGTCTGTTATCAGTTATGTTTCCGTAAACTGCATAATTGTATGCATAATATATATGCATAATTTGTAGGTACGAATATCAAATCTCTATTCATTTTTAACGATATTTCAAGATTTAGGGGTATAAATTTGAATTTATTGTCATGACTATAACTGATAATATCGATATCAACTATATCTTATCAATATACCAATATACTTCGGGTATGATTTTAGCCGTTATAAGTATTCGGATACACTAGTCTGCAGCTTACTGTATACCAATATTATCGAAAAACTGGAAAAAGTACATATAGTCATCATATATAGTCATCATACGTATAGAGTCGTATCATATAATTATCATATCAATATATTTTCAATATGGGTTCAATATACTTTTAATATAGTTATCGTTGAGTTTTAGATTTTTTTGTGACACATTCACCGAAATTAACGTTTGGCGGGTAAAACCCGAGTGATCACGATCAAAAATATTTGGTTATTATTGTGTTCTAAAGAATTTGACAATTAAATACCTTTCAATAATTAACGAATCATCCGATATTCCTGATATCTACATAACAAACTTTGAATATTTTGAAGCGGAAATTACGTCATTTAATGTGCTCAATAACTTTTATGAGTGGATATACGTACCCACTTTTAGATTTAATTTCGTCGTCATCTATCCTTTCTCATGCAATCTTATCATGTTACAGTATAACCTGTTTTATATTATTCTTTAACCAATATTTTATATGTACAATATCCTAGATAACGTTTAGTCAACACTAATTATATCATCTAAATCTTTGATTTCTATATGTTTTCAAAATTATCGGGTTGGACCGGTCGCTATCTTGTGTGACATAACTAAACTCCGAGATTCGTTCGTAATCTCAAAATATCAGATATGTTAGTAAACTCTCGTAAGTACGATGCATCTATATAACTGTTATCAAAAAAATCAACTGCACTTTTTTGATACGTACGTAATGCATATCGTTATGTATTAGAGATATTTTTCTTAATACAATTTATTAGATTGATATTTTTTTTGTAATACATAATGATAACTGTTTACGTATCAGTCATTTGCATCTTATTTGTATTTGTATCTAGAACCAATAGACTTAATTCATCTTTTCTGATTGGCTTAGAAAGGTGGAAAAAAACCCTGCATACCTTCTTTTTGGAATAGGAAATGTATACAGTTTTATATGTATTACGATGCACTACTTATTATGACATTAAAGAACCAATAGCATTTAATCTTTGAAATAAAGTTAGAATTCCGGTATTTGACAAGTTTTTTTTATCTAATTTTGTATGTTAATTAAACCATGTGATATCCAATTCCTTTTGATGTATACCGATACGTACAAACTTGTCCTAATTTTCTTTACCCAAATTACTACTCAAAACCAAAACATTGGATTGTGTTACTGATTTCTGGATTTGGTATGTACAGTACTCAACGTCAGCATTGTATTTTTAATACATAATGTCTTCCCCTTGAAGTGCAACGCAAATCTACTATGTGTACGTACGTATTCCTGAATTTTAGGATGGTACAATACAGTACTGTATGCCTCTCCATCATTAATACGACTAAGGCAACTCTTTAAGTCAAAACAAAAAAAAATTATTTTTTAATATTTCTTTTATTGTATATGCATTTCTCGCAAGTTCTTTTTGAAATTTCATAAAAAATTATTGTATTAAATTTTGTGTTAATTAAAAGCTAATTTGCAATACATTTAAATTTCATATACATATACGCAATATGCTAAATATATACGAACATATGTATAGCATATTTTTTTAAAATATTATTAAAAAAAAACCACAAAAATTACCTCAAAATACGTGATTAAAAGAAAAAATACCTTTTTAATTACATATATAGAACTTTACAATCATTATCATTATGTACAAATAATTTTATTTATGATATTACAAATAATTTTATTACGATAATAATATCAAATTTAATTTTGTTTATTTTTTATTTATTGTTTTTTTATTTTTTTTTGAATTTCATATATATATAAATATTCATTATTCTTGACAAATTATTTAAAACGTGTAATATCGATATGTTAATTTTTGATATTAAATTAATTTGGTATATATTTTAATTACGTATAAATTATGTATAAAGCAATTGGTCTAATTTTTATTACATACATACAGTATTAGGTTTTTTAAAATTATAATTTTTAATAAGATTTTAAATTTTAGTACATGTCGTTATAACAAAAGATTCAATTTATACGTACGTATAATAATAATTATTGCTAAAAATTAAATTAAAATTTAGATTTTTATACTATTATTGGTATTCAATATCATAGTTTATATGTAATAGTTATATTTTGAATAATTGGTTATAAGTGAAAATCAAATTACCGCTTATACACATAGTACCCAGTAGTGTTTCAAGGCATTATAGCATTAATTGACTTAGGCGACTTAGTCAATTTAATAGTTTTAAAAATATCGGAACTATTAATTTATGCTAACTATAGTTGTTAGACGAAACTGTTTTGAGAAAATGACGAAAGACAAAATTTACGAAACCCTAGATAAATGATGAAACTCTTGGCAAAAAGGCGAACTCTTGATAAAGCTCTTATTAAAGTTTGAATTCTCTAAGACTTTGAAAAAGACTAGTAAATAAAATTATTTGTGTGTGGTTATTAAGCGCAGTGTGTGGCTTATACATATAAAGAAATAAAATATTTACATGTTACTATTAAACAAGCATGTGGTTTATATAAAAAAATATCTTAGTCATGTTTATGAATAAAATATTTATATATAACTATGTATTAATATTATTTAATAAATTATATTGCTTATATAAAAATTATACTTATGATCCATGGGTTGATAGCGCAGTGGTTAGCACTCCCGGGTCTCAATTACAAGGTCACGAGTTCAAGTTCAGAAGGCAACAAAAACTCCGTCAAGACTATGATTGAAAAAGATTTGCAGAGGATTTCTATTTAAAAAGCAAGAACAAGATTCATATGAAAAAAGAATGCAGTGACTGGCATAGTCACAAGGTCAGAAACAATCAGATAAGGCATAATCCATTAACAAATAATGTTAACATTGAGAGAACCTGATTTAAGAATACATAAAATTAAAAATATTAAAATTTACAGACAATCTGATTAGTGGATTATGTAAAGTTAAAGAACTGCAGACTAAAGAAGATAGTAGTTCCTATACTGTGGAATTAGAAACCTGAGATCTCATATAATAGACTTAATAGAGCATGAATTATCTTATAGTTCAGTGACATATAAGAGTTACATACTGTTTAATAATCTTCACAGAATAATAACTCTGACCTTTAAGAGATATAACAGGTTCTAAAGGTATCTAAAGACCTTCAGAATAGTAGAGAAAAATAAAAATAAAAAAAATAAAAAATAAAAAATTATAATTATTTAAATAAATTTTATTACTAAACTATTAAATTTTTATTTTATTGTTTTATTGTTTTTTTTTTTTTTTTTTTTTTATTTATAATATCAAGTAGGAAAAATTAATAATACATGAGCATGTCAATCGGACATAATTGTATAACTAAATATTATTCCTAAACTATGCTATTGTTGCTATATATAACGACATCTAGTATGATATTATTCTCTTATTTTCTGTTTTAAGCTAGATTAACTATAGTTAATTACTAACTACAGAGAGAGATAAAAGAGAAACCCTAAAGAAAAGTTTAATTTATGAAAATAAGTATATATAGTAAATTTTAAGTTGAATTTTTAGAAAAAAAGACTATTATCAATTTTATCGATGATTTTGAATATGTTGAAAGTGTGAATGAAATCAGTTTTTGATATTGTAAGTATAACAATTTTAAGTTTTTTAATAATATATTGGTTTGCTTGATTGAGATATGATTTGTTAAGATTCTTTTTTAATTGAGTAATAGTTGGTTTGGAGATTTGAGTGATGTCATAGTAGGCAATAATTCTGACTAGGATTTGTGGATCGCTTGTTTTTGAAGAGATTTTATTGAGTGCTTCTTTAAAATTGAGTTTAGTGATTTTATTGTTTGTTGCTGCTGATTCAAAGTAGGCTCTAGATAACAATAAAAGAAATATGATAAACGTTTTAGGTTAGTAGATGTGTTATTTAGTTGAATAAAGTTTTGTTCAGATTGGTCAGATAGCTTATAAAGATGTTCAAAGGGTAAAGGTATATTAAATGTTGCTGAAGTAAGTGTAGAAAGATTTAAGAGTAGATATATGTGTTTTTGAATAGGTATAGTATTGAAAGATTGTTTAAAATAATAAGAAGTTAGATTATAGATATTATGAATTGTTTTTGGATTAAGGATTTTGCATTTTTCCAAATTGATACAA